CGTTTTTTCATTCATTCATTCATATTCGTTTTTTCATTCATTCATTCATATTCGTTTTTTCATTCATTAATTCATATTCATTTTTTTCATTCATTCATAGTCTATTATCAACGATAAAATATTTGATTGATGGTAATGCCTACCATAAATTTCAAGAAACTACAAATAATTCACATTTTTGTTGTAATAAAGTTACTTGAGTGAAATTACTTACACATTGCCATTTTCTCAGGAGTAACTGTTTAGTTGGAAGTGCCTACCAAAATCTCCATCTAGTTTTTGAGATTAAGTTGTAGGTCGTTCTTTAGTCGTACATGAAATGTAGCTTCTGATGATCTATGGTAAATTGGTTGTTCTTCAGGAAATCAAACTAAAACTTCTGAAGCAATATAAAGTGTGGAATGATAAATTCAGCTTCATTGACCCAATCAATAATTTTGTCATCAATTTTTTAATAAATAAATTAAATGAAGTACAGAACTATATAGAAGTTTCAAGCTGAAGAATTTTTCATAATATCAAATACAGATTACTACTAAGTAGTTTCTTATTTGTTGATATTCAGTGCTTCAGTTATAGTAAGTCGATTTTTTGCATCTAATCAACATTAGATGTACATGTAAGTGACTGCTATTGTAATACCACATTAACAATTTCAGAAACTGTTTTTTTTTAAATTATTTATATTAATGAGGGGAATCTGGTGCCTTCTGGTTTTATCGTCTGCCTAGTGCAGTTTCTAATTTAGCGAAATGTTGTTTCTTCCGCAGTGCTACTGTCAGTAATAATAGTGCTCTGCAAGTAAATATATTATTAATATGCATCATTATTGTTATTATCATTAATAATAATAATAACAATAACAATAAACTTTAATAATAATAACAATAAACATTAATAATAATAATAATAATAATAATAATAATAATAATAATAATAATAATAATAATAATATGTATTATTGGTTCTTATCCCTTATCGTAACTAAGGAGATAGAATTGGCTCACTTCCATGAGAACATGGGCAAACAACAACCATACCACCCCACCATCAATGCGCTATGCCAGCATAAGTGCAACGATGTCGTATGAATACCTTCATACTTTAAAGGAGCAGTGGCATTTTGCTATCCGTGTCGTGTCTGGTGAGGCTCTGATCTTTGGACTTCACAGTTATCATAAAACATTCTTGAGTATGTCAAATGCATTTTATGCCAAAGTACTTTTTTGATGAACACTTTTAATTTTTGTTCTTGACACTTTGCTATGCTTTATGAAGTTGGGTTGCCGCTCCAGCCCAATGCATAATTTCAAACTTATTGAACTATGTAAACAGAATGCCCTTCTTCCCGCCACACACAATCCTTTTTCGATTACCAATCTCAAGGCATCTGACTCGACTTACTACGATAAAGGATAAGTATTATTATTATTATTATTATTATTATTATTTATTATTATTATTTATTATTGGTTAATTATAAACAATTGACTGGTGTATAAACAGAAGTCTCGCAGATATCTGTGCATGACTGGCAAATTATGAATGCATATTATAAATTAATTCTATATATCGATAAACAAAATAATTAATTATCACATAAATTATTATATATAATAGATTACGCAGGATTAATAATTATATAAAACAAACTTGTAATATTTATGTGTACCAAACAGAATATTATATTGATGATTGTAGAACCTAAAAACTTCCATTACTTCACTGATGTTTCCTGACATTATTATTGTTATTATTATCATCATCATCATCATCATGGATTTTCTTTCTCTATAGAAACTGGACATGAAGAATCTATCTTTTGGTGTCTTAGAACGAAATTGCGCTCTTATAAAAAGGTGTTTTGTCCTATCCCAGTTGAGCTTGCTGCAAATATTTCAGAATGTACAAGTCTGATGTAAAACTACCCTTTTTCTAAGAATTTGCAATTTTATTGGCAGTTCCAAACTTATTAAATTCTTTTTTAAAACTCGACATTACCATTTTCTATGTAATCACAAAGGCTATAGACTTCTCCAACTACTAGATCCATTAAATTGCATTGCAAACTCCTCATGCTTCTCAATTTTCTCTTAATTCTGTTTTCCAGATGTCGTGGATCAGCAGAACTGCTGTATCAATAATAGCGGCTCTCTTGTTAGTTTTATCAATGAGGAGAATATCAGTCTTTTTATAATCCACTGTTTTGTTCGTGATATGAAAACAGGCAGAGTACATCACATACTTCTTCGTCTCCCAATACCCAGACTGAGCCATATTTGTAATGTGAGTAAGCGTATGAAGCAGCCTGTGTTTAACAATTTCTTGGTGTATGGGTTTCGCGAGTTGATTATGTCTTCCAAGATAGGCATTGACTGATAATGTCAGACAGCCTGCCCTGTGTTTAGTAGATTTGCCATGTACATCATATTTTCTGCATTTCCGTACAACATTCGTCTTCATTACTTTTGTAGGTTTTGGTTTTCAGTATCCTATATTGGATTACAAACCCTTGAATCTCTTTGAGTATAAATATCCACTTATTAGGTAATGCAGAGATGTTGCTTTATCAATATGTTGTTCTTCCAGAAGATTGGAGAATTTTCTGTGCAGGATTCAGAACTATTATTATTTATATTATTATTATTATTATTATTATTATTATTATTATTATTTAGTTGTTAATGGAGGTGATAATCGTGTTGTAATCAATCAATCAACATTTGCTGAAATAATTCTTTAAATATTTCTTATTAATTTTTTGATTGAATCTGTAGGATTGTGAAAAAAATATTGGAAACTGGTCTGTTCTAGAATTGAGTTAAATTGGTGCAGTGGGCTCTCCACATGTGACGTCCATGTGGGCAGGTGCACAAGGGCAGGGTTGCTCTCAAACCTTTTCCTGTTTATGCATTCTCCCTTCACTTAAAAATTGGCCCCATCTTATTGTTAGTAGTCAACGCATTCTGACAATTGTTGCATCATTTAGGTTCAACCTCTTGCATATTTTTATGTATCGATCATTATAATAGTTGGTATCCATATTTTTTGTAAATCTGTACGTGCAGTAAATTTACAATTAGGTTTATAGAATGTTCAAGTTTTTAAACTTATGATTGCTTTCAAGAGGCACCCAGAAATTAAATGCAGTGAAATAGTGTTGTTTGAAAAATGTAAACAACTAAACATTAGGAAAATGGTGGTGGATGAATAACCATACCATTGAGATGGTGTATTATTTTATGTGTTTTATTCTTTCACTATTGACATTGCGATATATAAAATAATAATGGGTCTGATAGCATCAGAATGACCTTTTGATGAGTGGATAGTGAAAATTTGTAGTTCAGAAATGTAGCCAAAAATTCCTTTCTCAAAAAATATTAATAGTCTTGGATAATCCCTCGAAAGAAAAATATCTTTTATAAAAATATAAATGATTTGTCTGAATTATCATCCTCCTCTAGTTTATCATCTTCTCAGCCTTCAGTCTTATTTTTCTTTCCCATTTTTCCTTTTCTTTTCTCTCTCATTACTTCTTCTTTTCTTTCTGGTATCCTTAATTCAAACAATGGGGTTTCATTAAGTTGTTTGCAATATTAGGCTGAAAGTAAATAGAAAAAAAAGTGGTATAAATCAATCTTTCCTTTAATTTTACATAATGTGTCCACAGTTTCTTCAATATTTGTCT